ATTTGAGCTGCTGCTCTACAAAATTTACAACTGGTAGACAGTTTTCAAGACGGCGCTTTCTTCATAGTAAACAAATGTACCCATAAACCAATTTTGATAGGAAACAGAAGCATGGTTTAGAAGCTAATTTTTTTAAATCAATTTTGACCAAAAAAGCACATTTTTGTGCATATTTCAAACTACAGTGTCCAAAAAAATAAAATACTAACAAAACTTTAAAATTCATACAATATGCTTTCCGAAAATATATAGTTTTGTGGACAAGGGAGGTCATCTTGGTTTCCTAATTAACTAATTAAAATACCTGTCAGGTAAACTGCATCTCTACCTTAAGAGATCGCCGGTCATGAACAACACCGATTACCGTAATTTTACACTATGAAATGTATAGAGATTGATTACACTGAATTACCATAATATAATACGTACGATAAATAAAATACATGTACGCTGTCATTTACAAATCCATAAAATATGTGACCATATATCATACTGACTTTATCACGTCTGGGCGTATTGTAATCATATTAAAATTGTTAGCACAGTATCATAAACGTGTATATCTTTTGTTGATGTTATAATATCGATAAATCCTCAACATATAACCATCATTTACCAACATACATGAAATATTACACAATATAATCCCATCATTAAATGTAGAAGTCATGTGTAATAAATGTAAAACGAATGCTGGCGAAGCGCTAGTAGGGACAAAGGCTTTAATGGTCGTGTCGGAAATAACAAAACAGTTGGAGGGTCGATAGTATTGACAAATTAGGTCATAAATGTTACGATATGAGCACAACTAATTGTGTTCTTGCTGTGCAAATTGCATTGTCCATCAATATCTTATACATTTATGTTCAATAAACTAGTATGGAATATTGAGTAGAATTTCGGCAATGACTACATGTGTTATTGAAACAACTTTGATCAAACCAGCTATCATTTATTTCATTGAATGTATCAACGCTATATGCGTGTCTACGACGATGTTTATATCATCTATAATATGAGCAATGTATGCTACTTGATGACAATGTGTTAAATTAAGCACTTAAATGAATAAGAACATCATCACAACAATTTCCCTTGATCGCCTCGCATATGTATCTTCTTTGTATGATTCGTGATAACACAATTTTGAGGCTCATATAAAGTTTCATCTAAATTTTAAAAAGAATAGTAGTGAAGTGTGAACATCTCTCACATTGCTGTTTACATTGCGAGAAGAAACTGTGCCTAGTTCAAATATTTAAAGTTACTTATTCAATAATGCAAACAAGTTAAATTCGTGGAAAACCTATTATCAATAGAAAAACCACCGAATCGGCAAATTATCTGCATCGCATATTTAGAAGTTACGATTGAATGCGGGTAATTAGAATTCAATTAGAATGAGTGATGTGAATGTATTTAGACTGACTAGTTGTGCTTGGCTGTGGAATAAATTTGTGATAAAAGTGTAGTTGATGTGAACTGTTCCGCAATCTATGCATATTTACTGTTTAATACATTATTGCCACTGGGTTAAAGTTAACCTTTGCTCCAAGTTACAATAGATTGAGACAGAATAAAGTCGATCTCCAAAATATATTTTCTTTAAATGTGCAGTAATCTATTTTCAGTAGCATAGATTTTCCTAGAATTACAAAGACCAATCATATTGAAACGGATCCTTTCAAAGCAGAATTACTCACACATACACTATGGGAATTGCGACATGATATAGAGTAGATGTAATACATACGTCAGCAATCATAGCAGGAATTGTATTCCTAGGAATTATCCTAAAAACAAACTACATATTTCTATATGACTACTCCCTAGTACCCAATACATTTCATAAACATTTAAATAATCAGTTGAAATCAATTCTTGAATTAAAATATCACAATTGCATTGACTCAGTATCAAACATTATGTCACTAAGACATCATTTTATCTGCCTGGTACGTTACATCATTATGTTCTTACTACACTAGTGGATCCGCTTGTTGTCTTGAATTCCACGTAAAGATACAGTATATTTCATAATGATAGCTCAAGTAAAAAGTTAATTGCGAATTTTGACATCACACTCACATTCTTCCTTCTCAGTCCATGTCACCATAGTTACCATATGCTTACCTTCAAATGGTAGAGCAGCATCGCCATTCCTATCGTCTTCCATGTCAATGCTAGCAGAATAGTATGAATCCAACGATACTTGTAATGTGAAGAAGGCATATTCCCCTTCAGTCATCCTCAAATCGTAGGCACTGAGTAGTAAGTGTCGAACATCTCGACCATAGGCACACAGAATAAAAACTGAAAATAGAAATGTACGACTAGGTTTGAAATAGGTTTGTCCATTGTAATTATTTCAGAATAACTACGCTACCATTTCAAACTGACAAAATACGTTTTCTATTGTTGGTGGTTGCTGATGCAATGTACAATTTGTCATTCAATGATATCCCTGATTATCACGTGTCTGTCGGATATTATAAGATAAGAAGTAGCGTAATTTGTTCATGTGGTGGTTGGTTTTGAAACAAAATTATCCGTAAATAAAATAGGATACTAGTTTTTTGAACACATGGTAATTACAACATACAAAGTATATTGCGCCAGTTTATGGAGATAGAGCACATAGTCTTTATCTCCATTAATTTATTTGTCAACATGAGAAATAATGAGAAGATGTATAACAGCTTTAGAACAATGTTTAAATATACAAATTGGTTTGATAGTGATGACAGCATGTCTGGTGTCATTGCACAACATTCCATTCAGTGGTGTGTGTTTTATCAATGTGTTTTGATTCCATAAATAGTGATATTCCAACGTGAAATAATAGGATACATCGAGTCAACGTTAAAAACAAAATAATAATCAGTTGCTCCATTTGTTATGCAAGAAATGGTCCATATGCCCCGGGATGTGTCATGGATATGATGCATTGGGAATGTACAGTCTGCACACTGGGGTTAATTATTCCATTGACCAATGTATTCCTAATGTCACATGATCACTCAGGAAAAAGAATACGTTACAGCGCGACTTATTTTAAACTTTGCTGTATTTAGAAAGTTAATAATAGATTAGTATTAAATAATTCAAATGGTATGCAGCAAATTAAGGCACACTGCATATAAGAGTATTTAAACGACTCGCTTAACTGCTGTTATGATTTATTTATACTCCAATATAAATAAACAACAAAGATATTTACTGACGAGTTCGCTCGTAATCGACATGGGTAACTAAATATAGCATATAAATATATCTATTTTGGGATGAATCAATAGTCGATGGACTTATTCTGAAAATGAAGTACATTTAATAATTTTTATGTAACTTTTCCGTTGTATAGCGAAATGTGTTAAAATACTTCTATAACATTAAACATGATGTAACATTTGGCATATTGAGTTGCTTGGTCATGTTGCATATGTTTTGTTGTTATGAACATGTGTTAATAAAAATTATTACAAATCATGACAAGTAAGTATTTATATAATAGCATAAAATACCAAGTGTTCCATTGTATGAGAATGGGGTACCTAATAGTACATGACGTAAAATTTAATAAAGTCTGATGAATTGCTTTTTTTTCAGATTGTTATTTGCTAAGGGGATATAGGTCTTTAAGTTATACATTATTATTTAGGGCAGTGAAATATTAGACTTTTAACCCACACGTTATCTCCATTGTATCGCTTTATTGACTTCGTTATAATATAAAAAGCAATCAAAAGGTTAAATTGCGACAATACAAGCAATTGTGTTTAAACCATTAGAGTGCGTGAGAACTAAATAATAGGGTTTAAAAATGCGCATTAAGAATATATCCATGGGAATGTTGTGGTGTGTTATTTATATTACATTACCAATCGTAGAGAATAGGAACAGAGCCGTCTATATAAAAATGTAGTTGAAATACTTACAGGCATACATTAACCTTCCTATACTGATAAAATGGAATTCATAAAACCCATTGAGAATGTCATAGGAATACATAAGATTTGGGGAATCATTCAAACGATTGACGCACATGAAGTGATGCCGCTAGTGTAACTACATTTGTTGTTTAGTGCAACATGATGATGTTTGTAAATGGGTTTCTGCTGTGACATAGCCTTGAGATGAGGAAATTAACAAGAATCCTGGGACATGTGAGTGACAAGTATCTCCGTGGGACTACTTTACTCCAGAATGCTAACAAAGCAAACATTTTTTAATAAAAAAAAGCCTTAGTATTATGAAAGTGCATACATTACCAAATATAACATTATTGTTAATATACGCCATTTCGCGAAGCGACCACGTGACATGATCATCAGAAGTGCATATCCTATACCAGTAGTATAGTACTAGCTTATCGGTTTAAGTAACTATGATGTGTGTACGGGGGAGTCAAGGTCCTCTGTCAGTACAGACACATATGTTACTAACTAGTTTCAGTTTTGTATCGAGCATGGTAATCATGGGATCAAGATTATATTTTGTTACAAAATGTTCGTAAAATATATAAAACGTGTATTTCATTCATATACACATACAATGAAGTATTTATATTCGACTTATAAGAAAGTCACAACTAACTTAGCTACTTTGGAACTAGCAACTCGTTTATAGATCTTTCAGTGTGACATATGTTTATATTTCTATAAATGCACTAAAACATATTGGATATACACTTGCGTTTTATACTTACATCGCTATTGCAATGGTCACGTAGAAATCGTCAAAGACTCCTTAGCGGAATCCTAGTTTGGCTCTTGATGTATTTATAAAATGACCCTTAATATTCATTTATAACAACAGTAATGAGAAACACGTGTCCGGATAATACACAACGAGTGAGAGAGTCTATTCGAAACTCGTACACAGTAATCTACTAAATAATAACCTAAATGTGTCTTGACGTATTACCTCTAAGTGCACTGTATATATTACATTGATATAGTTTCCTTATTGTCACGAACATCAGAATTCTATTCATTTAATTCATTTAAATAAATTGTTTTCAATAAACCTAAACAACTTTTGTGTTTGTACCGTAACTAGATGTTAAGAGTGAATTTATTCATGAACTGTGGTGACGTCATGTCATCTATTTCACCTTATATAATGACATCATAGATATATGTGTCAAATAAATGTGTTAGCTATCTTCTTTGCATACATGTAGACTGGGATGAATAGAATATTAGAATACAAATTTCAACTGCTATGCCTGACTATGACCATTCTGTAAATAACAGTTATAAGTCAGTAACTATTAAGTAAGGCCTATTGTGATTGCATATTCAACTCAACTCCGGCAGTCACGTGTTACAACATAACAACTATGACGTATGTAAGTACATTCACCATGGAATCGGTATGAAATCGGCTTTTCTGATGGATAACTTACTTTAGTGTTAGGTTCTTGAGTTTTCATGGTGACTAAACATTAGTCGACTGAATTCTATTAAATAAGGTGAAATAGTCACAACTGCACATAGGTAAATTGACTAAATCACCTTGCATCACATTACAAAACAGTTTTGGGATTTATTGGAACCGATTCGTTTGAATTGACCCTAATGAGATACTATTGTTAGTAGACAAATATGAATATATGCAATAATTTTAACACGAATTGTTGAAATCAATTCTTTTGGTGTAGGTTCTAAGAGCGATGTGACAAATCACGCCAGGCATGGAGATGACTAAACGAACGCAAAAGATATGATCGATGTAATCAACATTGCCAAATCACGATAAGTAGGTTTCTCTCCGGTAAAGTTTGTCAACAATCGATATTTAACATGAAATGATCAAAGAATCCGCAAAACTCCGGAAGCTCTCATAAGTTTGATAGCAATATTCAATACATTTGTTATTGTCAAATTGGCTGGGTAGCCCGAAGCCCTGGGTGACGATCCAATTTATGTAACTACAAAACTAGTAAATGAATACGGTTTAATGAACACTTTATATAGCTTATAATATTATTTGAATGCAGAATAATCGACGGATTATGCATTGCACGTGACGCTATGGCTATGTTACGTTTATTTATTTATTTAATTATTTATTTATTTATTTATTTATTTATTTACACTCTAAATCTTATAATAGAGAAATACAAGTAGTCGATCAGTTTAAGGTTGAGATGCAGGTTCGTGGGCACTTGGGAGTGCAATGTTTTTTTTTTTTTTTTTTTTTTTTTTGCTTTTTATTATCCAAACAGTCTTGGCCATAGACTGTTAACATTTTGTAGAACTGTGAATAGTTGAACATACTCAAAAAAAACGATTTTAAAATATAGTTAACAGGTGCAAACATTCTCTCCTTTGAGTGCTTAGCACGATTTAGCAAGACTATACATAAATAATAAAAAAGAAACATGGTGAAAAAAGAAATGACGGGATCTCCATATTATGCACTATAATTAACTTTTAACAAAACGATAATACATTTAAATTTGGAACTGTTACAGCCATTTTAATTATGAGCATTAGCAAACTTCTCACTGAGTGAATTGTTATGCAAATTAACAATTATCTCAGCTTCCTTTTTGTGCACATCCCAGAACTCTAAAAACAAATAGCTCCTAGACGCTTTGACCTTTTGTTTTGAAATCTTCACAAATGATTAACAATGTCATCGGGGCATTGTTTTGGGTTGAACAATGTTACAACAATCGTACAGACAACTAGCCTGGGTGTTAATTTATGCATAAACTTGAAGTAGTGAAATTTGAGCTGCTGCCCTGCAAAATTGACTGGTGGACAATTTTCAAGACGACACTTTCTTCATAGTAAACAGATGTACCCATAAACCAAATTTGACAGGAAACAGAAGCATGGTTTAGAGGCTATTTTTTTAAATCACTTTTGATCAAAAAAGCACATTTTTGTGCGTATTTCAAACTACAGTGTTCATAAAAAAAATATTAGCAAAATTTCAAAATTCATACAATAAGCTTTCCGAAAATATATAGTTTTCTGGACAAAGGAGGTCATCTAGGTTTCCTAATTAACTAATTAAAATACCTGTCAGGTAAACTGCATCTCTACTTTAAGGAAACGTGTCGCGCAACAGTTAAACTACACAGGCATATTACTGTAGTTATAAAATACATATTAAAGTACTTGTATAAATTTAAAAAAAAGATTAAAAAACATATATATAAATAAAATGAAAATCCCGCTAATATATCAAGCGACTTAACCCCATCTCTTACAATTTTAGGCATTGCATTATTTGTAGCAAGTTATAATGACGATATTGTTAAAATTTCTTACAAATAATGCGCATTTATCTCAAATTTA